TTCCGCTTACGCCTGCCAGCTACCTGGAAGATTCACAACGCCTTCCATGTCCAACTCTTGAAGCCCTACCGAGATCCCAACGCGATCTTCTCTGGACGCCAACCGCCGCCGCCGCCGCCCGTCCTCGTCCATGATGAACCCGAATACGAGGTCAAGTCTGTGCTTGCTCATCGCCATTGACGGAATGGCACCGTGGAGCTTCTCATCCATTGGGAGGGTTATGATCCTTCCTAGGACAGCTGGGTCTCTGAATCCGAGATGGACCACGCTCGTCGTCCTCTTCGCGACTACCTTGTCAAGCAGGGTGTTACTTCTACCACCCAGCTTTGAGGGGGGGAAGTGTGAGAGTACGACCCCGTTCCATTCTCTTCTCCTTTCCCTATTCCCTTTCCATTTCATTCCTCTGTTTATCTCATTCTATTTGGGTTCCTATTTCTCCTTTTCCATTATCCTTTGGTTTATCCTGTTATTTTCATTATATCACCGACCAGGCTCGGGATGTACTGGTACGCTCTATCTAGCGTAATCCTGCCGTAATCCCTTAAAGCCAATAGCCTCGCGTGGCTATACGCAGGGTGATTCTATTTTCTAGAAGGGTCTATTCCCTTGGGATAAGATAAACATGGTTACCTGATGTAATTTGGAAGTATAAAAGCGCCTTGTACTGATCGATAGGGCAACCTTTCCTCGACACATTCGATCATGTGACAGACGTGGGACACACCAGAGGGGGCAGAACGGGGAGGGGGAGGAGGAGGGGCGGCAACGACCGGGGAAGGGGTGACCACGAACAGGGGGGGGGTAATCGGGGGACCTCGGTGGGGGAAGCGGCGGAAGAAGGAGACGGACTCGTCAAAGGTGACGTCACGGGAGTGAAAGAACCGGTGAGACGGCGGGTGCTAGAAGTGCCAGTCAGACGCGTCAAGGGGGAAGCTGAGGAAGACACAGGGAAGGGTGCGGGAACTGAGCTTGTCCATGCCAGAGGCACGAACGTGAGCAAGGCAGCCCCAGACGTGGAACGCAGACTCGTCACCAGGTGACCCAGACCAGAGGAGGGTCGGCGAAACCTGAGGCTGCTGGGGGTGCGACCACAGGTTAAGCTGGTGAGCGGCGTAGCGAACGGCGAATGGCCACAGAAAATGGGGTGCCCCGGCATGGATCATGGAGGTGCGAGCCACCTCCATGACCAAACCGATGCGTCGCTTAGCGACCCCATTCTGCTGCGGGAGTCCGGCAAGGTGAACGTCTGGGTAATGCCCTCCGCACGACATAAACGACTAAGGACACCAGAGGCAAACTCGCCACCACGATCGGAGTGGAGACGCAAGATAGGGAGACCGCGGTGGACACGCGCAGAGACAAGCCACGGGATAAGAACGGCAGGCACGTCGGCCTTCCGCTCCAAGGGGAACATAGTGGTGTAGCGCGTGTAGTCGTCGACAAGCACTAGGAAGTAGCGCTCTCGACGCGGCCCATGGACGGGGGCGGGGCCCGAGACGTCCATGTGCAGAGTCTATAGCGGTGCTGCAGTAGGGGGAAACGAGGAGGAGTGAGGGGCACGGCGGAGCCGGCCCTCGACGCAGGGCCTGCAAGGTGGGGCTGGGGAGGAGGGAAACTCATGGAACGACCCGGGGAGGCCTAGGACGAGACCGTGCTGTGACATGTGACGCAGACGCGGGAGCGCAGGGTGACTTCGGCGGTGGTGCTAGAGAAGAGTCGGGTGAGTGAGAGACCGACAGGAGCAGGCAGCAGCAACCGGGGGAGACGCAGTCACCTGAGGGGGGGTCCCAGCCGGGGGGGTCACCGTGTCCAATGTGAAGAGACCGGACACCGGTTCCCGGGGGAACGTGGACAGGGGGGCACCAATGGCGGCCTCGGTACAGACAGCGTACCGCTCGTGTCCAGGGAACGTAGTGGTGACGCCAAGGTCCTGAAGGCAGCCGACAGCAACTAGGTTCCTGGAGAACGAGAGGATGTGCAGTCCTGTGAGCGAGCCCGAAGGAACCGCCGGGCAGGGGAGGGTGGTGGAACTGCGGGCGACTACTGGGCCGGAGGAGGGGTCAGCAAGAGAGACTACGGCAGGGACAGGAAGCGGTGTCAACGTGGTGGAGTCGCGGAAGAAGCACCGGGAAGCGCCAGAGTCGAGGGTGAAGGAGAGCGCGGCAGTGGCAGCCGGAGGCGAAGCAGCGACGGATGCACCAAGTTACAAATTTATCAGGTAAGGAAGCATGATAAATTGAATCTGAAACATTCAGGATCTTTATCTGGAGAGTCTAAAGAATTTAGGTAAATTTTCATATCCGGACATAGGTTTAGGTTGGCGAAACTGAAATATATATAGCTAACCCGTCTTTTTCTGCCAAAATTAGTGGTTATGTTTTCCAAGGTCCTTTGCTGCCCGGCCCAACCAAGACTTCAGGCGCTGCTCAAGCAGTGGGTAGAAGGCGGAACGCAGACGTCGATTGGCGGAGCTCTGAGGCCCAAGAGCCTTCCACTTGGCCGCCTCCTTGAGGGTTTTTCCCACAGTGCTGGGGTCGGGATAGATACCGTATCTGATGAAACACCACCTTGTGAGGTCGCCGAGTCGAAGGTGACCATGAGCTTCAGCATGTCGGCAGATTCCGACCTTCATAGCAATCGTCAGCGATGTCCTCCTGAGTAACCTCATTGTGACCAGCTGGTTGAGCCCGGCGATGAATTTGGGTTGGTGATTCGAGGTTGATTTGGCGGACAGTAAATACGATCTGTGTCGGCCTCACATGCCGAGGGGGTACGTATGTTAAATTATATATTTTGTTATACAATTGGTAGGCTTGGTAGGTTTATCGAACTCTACTGTAGAGGGTACAACTCCCTCCTTCTATGCCTCTTTTTTCCTAGTCTCTCTCTTTTTTCTCTCGCGAACTTTCTCCTTCCTAAACCTCACGCCATTCTATGGCTTCCTCCTACTCCTAGCTACCTTAGTTTAACATGGTATCAGAGCAGGCCCCTTTCGCTTGGGCCTTCTCCTCACGCTTCCGCAGCGTACTCCCCCCCCCCCCCCCGTCACGCCGCGCTGGCCCCGTCATGCCACGCTGGCCCCGTCACACCGCGCTGGCCCCGTCATGCCGCGCTGGCCCCGTCACTCCGCGCTGGCCCCATCACGCCGCGCTGGCCCCGTCACGCCGCGCCGGCCCCGTCCCGCCGCGCCGGCCCTGTCCCTCCGCGCCGGCCTCGTCCCTCCCCGCCGGCCCCGTCACTCCGCACTGGCCCCGTCACGACACGCTGGCCCCGTCGCGACGCGCTGGCCCCATCACGCCGCGCCGGCCCCGTCCCGCCGCGCCGGCCCCGTCCCTCCGCGCCGGCCCCGTCACGCCGCGCCGGCCCCGTCACTCCGCACCTGCCCCATCACTCCGCGCCGGCCCTGTCACGTCATCGTGCCTCGGTGCCACCGTATCGCCGTCCCCAACCCCTTACACCCCCATGCTCGAGATCAGCCGGGTATCTACCCCTCGGGCTTGGCATGGTGACATCCCCGGCGAGAGGCAGCGCGGGCAACGGCCATGGCTGAAGGCTCTCGGCGGTATGGCACGGCGAGGCGACGACCGCGTAGAAGACAGTAGCTGCGGCAGGAGGAAGAGGAGACGCAGGGGAAGGGGGGGGGAGGGGGGGGGCGAATCTTCAGCGACGCGCCATGGGTGGCGTGGCGCTTACTGGCGGGAGAGGGCGAATCTTCAGCGAGGCACCATGGCTGGCGCGACGCTTACTGGCGTGAGGGCGTTACGACTGGCGCCTAGGACAGGGCGCTGGCCGCAGCTGTCCGTGCGCTGGCGTGGAGAAGCCGCCACGGCAGCACGGCGGCACGGCGGCGCGGTGGCACGGCGACCCAGCGGCACGACGGCGCGGCGGCAGCGTGGCACGGCGGCATGGCGGGACGGCGGCACTGAGGCACTGAGGCACGGCGACGTGACGGGGCCAGCGCGGCGTGACGGGGCCATCGCGGAGTGACAGGGCCAGCGCGGCGAGACGGGGTCAGCGCGGCGTGATGGGGTCAGCGCGGAGGGATGGGGCCGGCGCGGAGTGGCAGGGCCGGCGCGTTCTAGCGGGGCCGGCGCGGCGAGACGGGGCTGGGGCAGAGTGATGGGCTGGCGCGGCGTGACGGCGCCGGCGCGGCTTGACGGGGGGGGGGGCGAGTACTCTGCGAAAGCGTGAGGAGAAGACCAGAGCGAAAGGGGCTTGCTCTAAAACCATGTTATGAAGATAGGTTAGCTAGGAAGGTAGGCGGCCATGAAATGACGAGAGGTTTAGGAGCTAGGAGAGAAAGTTACGAGAGAATAGGGGGTGAGACTAGGAAGAGAGAGGCATAGAAGGAGGGAGTTGTACCCTCTACTGTAGAGTTCGTTAACCTACCAAGCCTACCGATTATATAACACAATATATAATTTAACAACAACTCCCTCCTTGTATGCCTCTCTTTTCCTAGTCTCTCTTTTTTCTCTCGTCAACTTTCTCCTTCCTAAACCTTACGCCATTCCATGGCTTCCTCCTACTCCTAGCTACCTTAGTTTAACAACGTAGGCATGCCTCTGCCAGCACGCATGCAAGAGTGCCAGGTGGACGGGGGTACTAGCGGGCTGTTTGTGATTTTGTGTTCGTCCCCACGGTCCGTCGTGATTACGTAGCATCGCCTTGCAGACGCGTATTGGCTGGGCAATACGAGACACATTTCACGGGGATTTTCCGAGCTCGCACTCGCGGGTTGGTTGGCAACGCTCGGATGCTGAAATCGAGCCCAATTTGGGTGGCGCGCGTCAATGGTCGGTGGCATTATGCGACTGTCATGACTGGTCAGTATGTTTATTGCGCCTTTTTAGCGAAGTCTAACAGTAGATGTATAGCTTACAGACGGAGTACATCGTGGTGGTTAGTATATAATTCCGGACGTTAGAGTATTATATGGAGTACAATGTCATGGACCTAATGGCATATCCGCTGTACTTGTCACGCCAACTGATTAGTACAAGGAGCCGCTAGACACGCCCTGAGTGTCCTCCTTGGCCTCCCAAGGAGTGTCCGCGCTTACCGGCGCGGCGACGCACACTGCGGCGTCGGAGCTTAGTAGCCGTGTGACTCCCGTCCCCGTCTCCCCGTCGCCAGCCCTAGTGATTCTCGCAAGTCTAGAGACGTCCCTCGAAGCTCGTTAGTGTCCCACCCGCGCAGACTCCCTTCCCCGTCTTGAGAGCTCCCCACGACTACAGCGAGTGTAACGACGTCCTGAAACACTCGCTAGCGTCCCACTCGCGCAGACTCCGTCGCTTGTTTCGATTCCGTGCGACGACTCCCGATCGGCCAATCCTGAATGGCCACGTGGGAAGAGAGGATCCGCGCTTGCGCGGAGCGGTTGTGTGATCTGCCGGACGCGTCATTTGAAGAGATCGAAGCCACGTCAGCACAGCTGAGGCGGCTGCTGGAGGACGGATGCCACGTGGGATGTGCAAGTTCTCGGAAACCAGCAACAGAAAAGGGAGAAACAGGAGGAGCAGCCGGAGCAGGAGAGGCAGGAATTGATAGCGAGTCTCGTGCTGCTGCGGATAGTGCTGGAAACGGCTCGCAAGGCCAGGGCCAGGGCCAAGGCGATTCCGCCCCTTCTGTTATGGATGAGCACAACCGTGAGGGGGCCGTGATGCGAGTGCTGCAGCTGCTGCTGTCGCTGCTCGCGGGACGCAAGGTAGAAAGGTGGCGTGAGAAGGGAGTATAGTGTGAGAAGGGAGGGTGGTGTGAGGAGGGGAGGTGGTGTGAGGAGGGGAGGTTGTGTGAGGAGGGGAGGTTGTGTGAGGAGGGGAGGTTGTGTGAGGAGGGGAAGTGGTGTGAGGAGGAGAAGTGGTGTGAGGAGGAGAAGTGGTTTGATTAAAAAGTCATTCGCGCGTGAAGCAGCGTCACCTCCAGTACCGTCTTGTTTTTTAACTCTCTTGTAATCCCAAACCCCTGACTGACATGCCCCACACACATCCATCTTCACACCTCTCCACCTCCCCACACCTCTTTTCATCCCTCTCCTTCCATCTGTGCTTTTTTCCCCACCATCATGCCCCGACAGGCGTCCCTGCTCATCCACCGTGCCTCATGAGACATATTCCGTTTCCTCGCTTCCCCTCCTCCTTGCAACCCTCTCTCCTCATTGCCGCTGCATCCCCTCTCTCCCCCTCTCTTTCCTCCCCAAACAGGCATCTCTCCTCATTGACCGTGCCTCGTGGGACATCCTCCGCTTCCTCTCCTCGCCACTCCCCTCCTCCTCCACCTCCTCTCCTTTTCTCTCCCCACCTGCCCCAGCGGACGCCTCCCCCGGGTGCTGCGTGCTGGCCTGCCAGGCGGTGGGGGAGGTGGCATCTGGGGCAGGCGACCCCCGCGAGGTGCATGCTGCGCTGGTGGAGGGGCTCAGTGGCAGCATGCGGTGGGCGCAGGGGGGGGGCGGAGAGGGGGAAGCGGAGGGGGGAGAGCGGGAGGGAGGGGAGGAGGGAGAGGAAGGAGGAGAGGAAGAGGGGAAAACGAGGGAGGAGCGTTGGAGCTGGTTGCTTGCTCCGTTTGGCACTCAGCTCGCCCTCCTTGCTGGCTTGCATATCAGTGAGTTCAGCGCCTACCGATTATTAGTACCAGTGAGTCAAGCACCTGACTCTGAGTGCTGCTGCTTACACACCATTGAACATATACTCTACCCGCCCTTTAGGTTTACTGCTTGCAAGTCTGTGACTGTGAGGGCGCCAAGGCTCATGCCTGTGCATGGTTGTATGCACGCAATGAGGCACTATTCTGCGTGCACTATCCTACGTATACGCCGCCGCCGCCGCCGCCGCCACCACCGCCACCACCACTCTCCATCCGCAGTCCTGCGTCGATTCAACACTAGCCCTCTTCACACACATGCCTCTCTCAAGCATTGATCCTTCGTTCTTCATTTCTCACTTGTGTCCTCCAACCCCCCCCCAGCCCTGCGTCGCATCCCTCACCATCCCCATCAACTCGTCATCCTTCATTCCTCGCTATCTCTCCTCTCCTCGCCTCGACTCCCTCCCCTCCCCTTCTTTCACCCCCCCTCTTCAACCCCCACCCCTGCGTCGCATCCCTCGCTTCCTCATTTGCATCTCTTTTGGTGACGCCATCCTTCTGCTGGTGTTTCCCTTCCCCTTTCCCCCCAGCCCTTGTCAGCGCCATCAGTTCTTCAGCCTTCTCTCCTTGATTCCTCTCCCCTTACCCAATCCCAACACCTCTTCTTCCCCCCAGCTCTACCCCGCATCCCTCGCCAGCGCCATCGCTTCTTCACTCACTTGGCTCCTCTCCTCCTCCACCTCTCCTCCCGCGCCTCTCACCATGCCGTGCTGCCGCCCTCCCATGCCTCGTCCCACGCCGTACCACCCCCCTCCCCCAGTAAGCCTCCTCTGCCGGCATCCTGCACCAACGCTCAAGCGCCCTCCTCCCATCCCTCGCCCCCCTTCCTCTCCCCTCTCTCTGCGGAGCTCTTCCTCCCCCCACCTCCCCCGAGCCCGTATCCCTCCCGTGCTCCAACCCCACCGCACCTGGCTGTTCCATGCAGCAAGGCACCATGCCCCGCGCATGTGGGTGAGGGGGGCGCAGGGGATGCGGTGCCACAGAGGGGCATGGGAGGGCAAGAGAGTGAGACTGCAAGAGCAGGAACCACGGTGCCAGGTGGCACGGCGGCGGCATGCGGCGTTCTGCAAGGAGGGTCAGTAGAAGGCACTGCAGCATGTGATAGCGCAGAGTCGAATCGCAGGGTGGGCTCAGGGGATGCAGATAAGGGCCCCCCTGGCATCCCACTCTCCATCCCCCCCATCCCCCCGATGCTCCCCTTCCCCTCCGGCACTCGCTCAGTCATCCCTGACCTCCGCGTGCCTCCCAGCAGCAGCAGGGAGGCGGCCTGGCTGGTGTGCCATCGCTGCATGCACCTGGTATTCGCTGCAGTTACTCGGGCTATAGTCCCGCCAACAACAGCCACTGCAACGTCTGCAGCAGGCAGTGAAATCTCCCCCTGCCCTGAGCTCTCTCCCCAGCATGTGCTGGCCGCCCAGACGGCCACTCTGCTGCTGCTCCTCTCTCTCGCCCGCTGCTCCGCCTTCCTCCTCTCCATCCTCTCCTCCCACCCGCTCCCCTCCTCCTCCCATGCCCCTCCCACCCACCCCTCCTCCCCCTCCTCCTCTCTTCCCTCACAACCCTCTCCCCCTTCACCCGCCTCACCCCTCTCCCCCTCCCTCCCCCTCATCTCCCCTGTGGCCAGCGCCCTTGCTGCTCTCGGCTGCCGTCTCGGCTGCTTGTGGCCCCCTCGCTCGGGCAATGGAGCAACAGGTGCAAGCGCAGGCACAAACGAAAGCGCAATTGCACCCAGCAGCACCACTAGCGGCATGAATACAAGCAGCCCCACCAGCAGTGCAGCCAGAAGCAGTGGTGCTGCCAGTGCCAGCGTCACGCCCCCCTCTCTCCTCCCCTCTGTTGACCTCCTCGCCTTGAGCGTGTGTGGGGACTTCAGCGGAGATGATACAGCGAGTGGCGGTGCTCCTGCTGCTGCTGGCACAGCTTGGCTGGGAGCAGTGAAGGCTCTTCTAAGGCCAGATGAGGAGGAAGGGGAGGAAGAGGAGGAGGAGGAGAGAGGAGAGGAGGGAGAGGAGGAAAGAGTAGAGGGAAGGAGAGCAAGCAGCGAAGAGAGGGAGAAGAGAAAGACTGAGAGGGAAAGGAGGGAAGTGGAGTGGTTGGAAACAGTGCAAGGGGAGGTGAGGGAGGGAGTGGCAGTGCTGCTGCTGTGGGTGCTGCTCCAAGCGTCTGAGCCACTCACCAGAAGCAGCAGCACCATCCCTTTAGACCGTTCCTCTCTCATCAAAGTGCTCGGCGCCGCTCCATGTCTTCTTGAGGCAGGCTTCCCATCCAGGGAGGGAGGTGGGGGAGGAGGTGGGGGTGCTGGTGCTGGTCCTCCTGGTGGTGGGACAATGGGAGGAGTGGGAGGAGTGGGAGGAGTGGCAGACGTTCTTTTGAGGAGAGTTGCCGGAATACGCTTGGTTCACGCTGCTCTAGATGGCTACTCCCCCTCATGCTCCCCCTCTCACTCTCCCTCTCTCTCACACTCACTCTCTCCTGAAGCACTGCTAACAGCCAGTCCCAGCTCTTCTGACAGAGACGCCTCTGCTGCTGCGATTAAAGAAGTGACACGTGTCACATCGTCATTGGCTCGTGTGATGATGTCAGCGGTCGGCTCGTCTGCTCTGCGCCGGGCGGCGCACCGTGCCATGCTGGCGGTGCTGCGGGCGGCGGCAACAGATGGGGAGAGGCTGGAGTGTGTCAAGAGGCTGGTGGTTGAGTTCAGAGAAGAAAGCATGATGGTGAGTGCAGTGGAGTGCGGTGCAGTGCAGTGACTGTGGTCTGCCGTCCCCCTTGTGTGAAATGCAGTGGTTTGATCCTCCAAGTGGTTGTCACACCCACAAAAAAGGCATGGCAAAGACAGGTACAAGTCATTTTCGAGGCTTCCTAGGAGTGGCAAGCAAGTGAAAAGGAGAATCTTCCCTAGAGGGATTTCTCGTGAGGAGATTTTCCCCTTTTATCATGGGGAGGATTTTTCCTGAAGAATGGTCACTGAGTGAGTAGTGCTTCACACATCCCGTTTGCCCGCCCCCCTCTTCAGTGCTCCTTACGCCCTTGCGTCAATCCCCCCGTTCGTTTTCCCCTTACCTTGTCCCTTCTCGTGTCCTTTTCCTGTTTGTGCTTCCCCCTGTTTCCCCCCTCTTCCTCCCCCTCAGGTGTCCCTCCTCCTCTCGTTTGCCAAGGATGAAGTGAACCGAGCATGGCCTCACTTGCAGCCTGCACCAACCACGTCAGCATCACCATCCACATCAGCTTCACCATCCACAACATCACTTCCGTCATCCACATCATCAGTCCCACCAGCATCGGTGCCTCAGGCGCAACCGTCAGTGGCAGGCTTAATCTCTCCTTCCCATCCTCCCCACTCCACCCCTGCTCTCCCCGCCTTCGCCTCTCCGGTCATCCTCCCCCTCCTTGACCTTGTCCTCGACCCTTCAGCCTCTTCTCTCCGTGCCACCATCAATGACCGTGCCTCCACTCCTGCTGCTGCTGCTGCTGCTGCTGCTTCCTGTGATGCTGCTGGTGCCAATGCTGCCCAGTCTCCCTGCTCGCCGCCCTTCTCCTTCCACCTGCCAGCTCACTCAGACGCCCTCATAGCAGCTCTCAACCTCCTGCGCTTCATCCTCATCAGAGAGCAGCAAGCACCCACTGCCATCCACTCGCCTGCCCCCCTACCTTCCCTCCTCAGAGAGCAACTGCACAGCCCACCCACTGCCAACCCCACAGAGCAACAAGCACCCATACCTGTTATTTCGTGCCCCGAGGAGCAGCAATCAGCCAACCCACTCCCTTCCAACCCCCTGCCCTCCCCGCCCCCCCCACCCTCCCCCACCTCACTGCGCGCCAAGCCCAACCTCCTTCGTGCCAGAACCTGCTGGCTGCTGCCTCTGCGCTCCACTGCTCTCGCCGCCCGGGCTTCCCTGGAATCCAGGAAAAGATCCCTGGAATCCAGGAGAGCAAAGGTGGCGGGTAGAGGAGGGGAGGGTGGGAGGATGGGGTGTGGGCACGTGAAGCATGGGCATGGAGGGGCGAGTGAGGTGGGGAAAGGGGAGAGGCGGGGTGAGGAGGGTGAGAGTGAGGAGGAGGAGGAGGAGGAGGATGAGATGGGGGGAATGGAGGAGCAGCTATGGATGAGAGAATGGATGGGAGTGGAGACGGTGCTCTCTCTCGTGGCCCGGTGCCTGGAGCTGGTGGAGGCAGATGGAGGACTCTAGAGGGACGGACTGAACTGCCACGTGGCAGGAGGCTCGTTTTGAGACGTCTCGGTGCAAGGCAACCATCATGTTTCGGTGGGGACATGAATGAGAGAGTGGATGGGATTGGAGACCGTTCTGTCTCTTGTGGCCAGATGCCTGGATTTGGTGGAGGCAGATGGGGGAGTCTAGAGGGGGTACTAACTTTGGCTGCTTTATTTGGGTGTGTTCTGCCTTCGGGCATCACCTCAACAACAGATGCCCGGAGCCGGTGGATGGAGGCAGATAGAGGAATATATATTTCCTGAATTTGTGTGCTTGGGCTTCCGCTTGTGTCTGTTTTTGAGGCGCCTGAACAATGAATGCTTGCAGCTTATGAAGGAGGATGGTGTTAAAGGAGCTCTAGGCTAGGATACTAGGCAGGAACAAGGCCGCCATGAATGTGGCGGCGGGGTTTAGCTAGGAGCTGGACGAGAGTGTCGAGAGAGAAGGGGGTTGGATTAGGAAGAGAGGGGAGTACAAGGAGGGGTTTGTACCCCCTACAGAAAGGTTCAGTAACAACCTACCAAGCCTATATTAAATTATAACTTATATAATTTGAACACACCCCCTAGGCTTGGTAGTGTCAAGCCCACTCACACCCCCACACCCACACCCACACCCACACCCCCTAGCCCAGCACCCCCATTCCCAGCAGGAGCCGTAACGACTCCGGAAGAGGGTAGGTCTCACGGCCCCTTGAGACGGCAATGGCGGCAGCAGCGACAGTGACGACAGCGGCGGCGGCGGCGGTGTGCGGCGGCTCAGGCCTGCGGCAACAGCGGCGGCGGCGGATGCTCGAACGCCAGAGGCTGGTGCGGCGGCCCCCGCCCTCTCGGCGGCATGTCCAGTCTCCTCGGCGGTGGAGAGGTCCCTCATAAGGCAGTCATCGGCTGCAGCAGGAAAGGGGGGAGAAGCAGGGGAAGGAGGGGGGAGGGGGGGGGGGCGCGGGGCGTAGTCCAGAATCACGCCGGCGGCTGCAGAGCGGGCGGCAGGTCTGGCGGCACCATTGACGATGCGCGGCCAGCTGTCGCCCGATGACGCCGCCACGGCAGCCAAATGACGCTGCCACAGCGCGACGTCGATGCCGCGGCGGCGAGGCGGAGGTGCGACTGTAGCTCGACTAAGCCGCCGCGGCATCTCAGAGAAGTCGCCACGGCGGCACAGAAAGGCAAGGCCGCCACGGTGGCAGGAAAACGAAAGGCCGCCACGGTGGTAGGAAAACGAAAGGCCGCCATCAGCGGCACGGTACGAAGTGAAACGTAAGACAAGGACGAGGCGGACGCGTGGAAGGCAGGACCGGAAACGGCCTGCTCTGTTACCATGTTAAAGGAGCTCTAGGCTAGGATACTAGGCAGGAACAAGGCCGCAATGAATGTGGCGGCGGGGTTTAGCTAGGAGCTGGACGAGAGTGTCGAGAGAGAAGGGGGTTGGATTAGGAAGAGAGGGGAGTACAAGGAGGGGTTTGTACCCCCTACTGAAAGGTTCAGTAACAACCTACCAAGCCTATATTAAATTATAACTTATATAATTTGAACACACCCCCTAGGCTTGGTAGTGTCAAGCCCACTCACACCCCCACACCCACACCCACACCCACACCCCCTAGCCCAGCACCCCCATTCCCAGCAGGAGCCGTAACGACTCCGGAAGAGGGTAGGTCTCACGGCCCCTTGAGACGGCAATGGCGGCAGCAGCGACAGTGACGACAGCGGCGGCGGCGGCGGTGTGCGGCGGCTCAGGCCTGCGGCAACAGCGGCGGCGGCGGATGCTCGAACGCCAGAGGCTGGTGCGGCGGCCCCCGCCCTCTCGGCGGCATGTCCAGTCTCCTCGGCGGTGGAGAGGTCCCTCATAAGGCAGTCATCGGCTGCAGCAGGAAAGGGGGGAGAAGCAGGGGAAGGAGGGGGGAGGGGGGGGGGGCGCGGGGCGTAGTCCAGAATCACGCCGGCGGCTGCAGAGCGGGCGGCAGGTCTGGCGGCACCATTGACGATGCGCGGCCAGCTGTCGCCCGATGACGCCGCCACGGCAGCCAAATGACGCCGCCACAGCGCGACGTCGATGCCGCGGCGGCGAGGCGGAGGTGCGACTGTAGCTCGACTAAGCCGCCGCGGCATCTCAGAGAAGTCGCCACGGCGGCACAGAAAGGCAAGGCCGCCACGGTGGCAGGAAAACGAAAGGCCGCCACGGTGGTAGGAAAACGAAAGGCCGCCATCAGCGGCACGGTACGAAGTGAAACGTAAGACAAGGACGAGGCGGACGCGTGGAAGGCAGGACCGGAAACGGCCTGCTCTGTTACCATGTTAAAGGAGCTCTAGGCTAGGATACTAGGCAGGAACAAGGCCGCAATGAATGTGGCGGCGGGGTTTAGCTAGGAGCTGGACGAGAGTGTCGAGAGAGAAGGGGGTTGGATTAGGAAGAGAGGGGAGTACAAGGAGGGGTTTGTACCCCCTACTGAAAGGTTCAGTAACAACCTACCAAGCCTATATTAAATTATAACTTATATAATTTGAACAGATGGAGCCTGGTATCTTGGGTGTGCTAGGGAGAGCGATCTATGAAGATGAAATGACGTGACCATTGTGAACGCACCCTTAGGCCGTCTTCATAGGAGCTAAGCTCAATATCAAGCTCCGCACGTATCGGAGCACTTACTGCTAGTAGCGTACATGTATTTGCATGTTTAGTAGGCTAACTAGGTGTCAAGAGCCCGGGTGGCCTGGAGCTGGAGGCAGCTGAAGATAATTCGGCCGAAGATAATTCGATCCCCTAATTCGTCCCAGACGATCGACGAGTTATCGTTGGTTCAGGTGCCGTCTCGTGGAGAGCTACCCGCTCCTCGTCTGTTGCCCAGTCCAGCTGTGAGGCCGAGATCTACGCCGGTGCCATGGCGGCACAGGAGCTCCGCTGGCTGACCTTCTTGCTCACTGACTTAGGTGAGCGGCCTAGCTCTACCCCGGTCCTGTACGCTGACAACAAGGCCATGATCCTCCTGTGTCAGGAGCCTTGACTCGAGGGTAGAGCGAAGCACATCCAGCTGCGGTACTTCCTCGTGCGTGAGCTCCAGCAGCGTCGCCAGGCGCGCGTAGTACACTTGGCCTCCGGTGCCAATACAGCTGATATCTTTACGAAGGCGCTTGCGCCTAAAGATCATCAGCGGCACTGTGTACAGCTAGGTCTCGTTCCTGTAGCCTCTCACTTGCTAGGGCCTTGACTTTGTACTGTCCTTTATATATATATTTTACCCAGACTGGCCTTGTGGCCTCTCCCATTAGCTGGACTAGTAGTGCCGCCCTGGGCTTGCCTTGTCTGTACTCCTTTTGACTGGTCTTTAGACCCTTGTCACAGAGGCTGGACTAGTAGTGCCGCCCTGAGCTGCTTGTTCTCTTGTTAGGCACTGCCCCTATATAGTCTAGGGGGTGTGTCAAATGTAACTTAGGTTGTTACTGTAAACTATACTGGATTGTGCCTTAGAGGGTACAACACCCTAGTCTATATATCCTTGTACACACACATTTTAGTTCAAATCATTTTCTTTCTGATAACAAATCCCCACGACGCAGAAAGGGAGCAAAATGTTCAAATTATATTTTTATATAATTGTAGGCTTGGTAGTTATGCTACTAACTGCATCCTACTGTAGGGGGGACAACCCCCTTCTTGTACTTCATTCTCTTCTAGTCTACCACTCTTCTCTCTCGACACTCTCGTCCAGCTCCTAGCTAAACCCTTGGCCGCCAGTTCATGGCGGCCTCCTCTGTTCTTCCTAGTTCAGACTTTAACATGGTATCAGAGCGGGATGCCCTTCCTGGGCCTGCTCCCCTCCGTGCTTTCCGCTGCGTTCTCGTGCGTTCGTCGCTCCTGCCGTGCCGCCGTGGCGGCCATGTCGCATGGCTGCCACGTCGAGCAGCCGTGCTGGGCTTGCCGCCCTGACATGGCGGCTCCGCCGTTCCACCTCCCCGTCGCGCCCCTCCTGGGCCCTGCCGTGCCTCCTATCCACGTCGCGCCCCTCCTGGGCCCTGCCATGCCTCCTAGCCCAGTCGCGCCCCTCCTGGGCCCTGCCGTGCCTCCTAGCCCAGTCGCGCCCCTCCTGGGCCCTGCCGTGCCTCCTAGCCCAGTCGCGCCCCTCCTGGGCCCCGTCCCGCCTGCTCCTCCCTCCAGTAAGCGCCGCGCCTATGGCGCCGCGCTGAAGTCCTGCAGCCCCACCACAGCAGCCCCACCACCTCTCCCTCCCCTGCATCTCCTCCTGCTCCTGCCGTAGCTGCTGTCTTCGGCTCGGTCGTCGCCAGCCCGTGCCACACCGCCGAGAGCCCTCAGCCGCCGCAGTCGCCGCCTGTCCTCATCGACACAGCCGCCTTGAGCACGAGCTCCGCCACTGTCGTCATTGAGGCCGCCCAGATGTGGCCAGCTGCCTCTCGACCGGGGGTGTCATAGCCTAGCACGAGGGGTCGATACCCGGCTGCTCACGAGAATGAGGGTGTCTGGGGTTAGGGGGTGTGTGTGTGGGTTGTGTGGGTTTGCCACTACCAAGCCTAGGGGGTGTGTTCAAATTATATTTTTATATAATTGTAGGCTTGGTAGTTATGCTACTAACTGCATCCTACTGTAGGGGGGACAACCCCCTTCTTGTACTTCATTCTCTTCTAGTCTACCACTCTTCTCTCTCGACACTCTCGTCCAGCTCCTAGCTAAACCCTTGGCCGCCAGTTCATGGCGGCCTCCTCTGTTCTTCCTAGTTCAGACTTTAACACAAAAGTCAAACCTTATGCTTCCCTTCTAGAAAGAAACCCAACCCAAGCGCACTGTTCCACTGGGTATGCAAGACATCTCAGAACCACCAGACGTCCCAGACGAGAGTTTATCCTGCCCACCAGGTGAGCGAGCACAGTAAGCGAGCCACTGAGCTGGCAGGAATCCCAATCGGCTGCCAGCTCACTTTATATATTGTCAAGCCGGCTATTCATTGCCAGCCTATTGCCATCACAGCACATTCATCCTAGACTCAGTATTTTATACATGTGCATTGGGCTGCTGCTAGCTCAGGCCCACACCAGGGCTGACGTTTCAAAAAAAACCACCCTGAGCTGTCGAATGGGGAAAAAAATTTACCCTGAGGGCCTAGTGTTGGTATTTTGACTTCCCTGATTTCTCAGTGTTCTGGAACTTACAACCCTGAAACCTCCAGGGTTGGCTTGCAACAATCAGGGTTGCATGGTACTTGGGAAAAAATCAACTAGGAATGTACAGCTACTAGTTAAGTAAAAGCACCACTACGCCACGCCAGTCTACAAGTCCTCTATCTAGTCTAGACTTCACAATATTCCATGCCACTAGCTACACTTGACTAAAATTCTGGGCCATCCATGTTCACTTCGTCTTCTGCGTCGTCATCGGACAGAAAGGGGTTGTCTTCCACTTCAGGAGCCTCTCCCCCCACTGCCCCCACTCCCCCCTCCTCCTCTCCCTCATCCTCTGCCCAATCCCCCATGTAGTCGGGGACTGCCTCCTCCTC